GCCCCGCAATCCTGCCCCGGAGCAGCGCGGGAGGTACCGGCCGGAAAGGACGTTAAAAAACAACCCCCGAGCGGCCGGCGCCGCCAGCGCGGACCCCTGGCCGCGGCCACGGAGCCCACGCGCGGCCCCTTCCCGGCCGCCCCTTCCGTGAGGGAGCGCGGCAGTGCCGGGCGGAATGGGATAAGGCACGCGAGGAGGAGGGCGGCCGCCTCCGTCCACACCTTGCGTGGCCCTGACTGCTTGTGGCTTTGTTGGCTTTTTTCTCGCACAGAAAGACCCAAACTACCCGACAATTACACTCAGGACACGTGGCAGAAGCTTCACGAAGCGGTGGGAGCGATACAGAGTAGCGTTTCCATTAAGTACAACCTTGAAGAGCTCTACCAGGTAAGACGCGTGGGGCTTTTCGAGTTCACTGTTACAGGCAGGAAATAACTACTTTGAGACTCCCAGCTTTCGTGCAGCGCGTCTCGATTTGCCGAAAAATGGGTGGTTTGTTCCAAACAGCCTCCCTGGTGTTGTGTTTCTGCACTGCTTGCACTTGGCTGTGGTGTCCCAGGAGAGCTAGCAGGCTCTGAGCTCATGGAGAAGCAAGTTGCGCCGGAGGCGGGGAAAGCCGGGCCTGGCCAAGCTGGGCCTGGCTGGGGCTGAGCGAGAAGTGTCAGGCCCTCCCAAACCCAAAMCCTGCGCTTGGGACACTGAAAACAGGCTGTTACTCCCACTTGGTCATGCAGGCATATCTTTTATAAGGACTTCTCTTCTGTATGTGCTTTGGTCTCTAGTAAATGTTTAAATGAATAATATTTTAAATAATAATTAGGTCAAAAAAACCCCAGTTTTCCCAAAAGGCTGTTATTGTTACTGTCTTTTGGGGAATTAAAGGTGAATGGKCCAAAAACTATCAGTTCACCTTTGGTTCAGCTTACTATTGTGTTTTTGAAAGAATGTCTTAGATTTTTCTGTTGCAATGGTATAAAAACACTGCTGCAACATCCAAACTATTAAATAGTGAATAGGAAAGGTAAGAAAAAAAAAGGCATGAGATTTCTTCTTTTCATTTTCTCCATTTGGATCTTATTTAAGTCTCTTCTTTGAGATAGGCAACTTTAGTAATTTTTTTACAATAATAGTGTAGGTATCAAAAAACCTGATACTGTAGGTTGGACTATATAATTGAAATTAATTCCAAGGGCTTTTTGGGGTGCAGATTTTTGTATTTGATCTGCAGATGTGACTCACTGTCAGATCAAGACTTAAAACATTCATATTACCATGAAAAATCTTAAAAATGTATAGCAGAGGTAGTGGGTAAGTTTTTTGTTTGTTTATTTTGGAAAATGTAAACTATGAAGGAGGAGAAACCCGGTCCTCAAAGAAATGTGCATAAATCTGAGAGGTGGCTAAACTTTTTTCTATGATTGGTTAAGATATTTAATACATAGATGTAAAATGAYTGGTTAAATAAATCCGTATTAACGTCATGTAATTTTGTGCTTTTAAATAGCCTAACTGATGTACTCATCTATTATTATTTAGAAATTTTCAAARTTTGATTTATGTAACACACTTCATGGATTTAAACTCGGCATTTGAAAAATACTGTGTTTTTCATGACTAAGGAAAAATAACGTAGATGCTTTGAAAGGTACCTCACTTGTTTTCGGAGGGTCAGAAATGAGATTATAGTGGTTTCAGGGTGAAGTTGTCGAGCTGAGTTCTGGCAGAAGAGAGTGATTCCAGATAGCATGTGAAAGRAAAGCTCTCTTGTGCTTTTTCTGTTTGCATGCTCACTTGCAGGAGCTGCACGTTATAAGGCCAGTTCAATAATGTGTGAGGCAGGGGTGCAAATCCGAAGCATTCCTGCACAGTGAGCAGTGTCCATGCAAAGCTACTTACTGCCCTGCCAGAGTTAAAAAGCCCAAACACAGCATCCATTGGAAACTTGATCTGTTCCTGCAGATCGTTTTTATCAGCTGAATGGTGAGCACGGAGTCCACGGGGGAGTGTTTTTGTGTGTGCATCAGTTCCTCTTACAGTTGGGGCTTCTTGTGCAGTCCTTGGTCTAAGTTTTGAAAGCGAGAGGTGCATGAGACTCGTGTGTGCCGAGCAGGCTGGGGCACCAGCCTGCTGGTGAGCTTCTTTGGAGCTAATTTGGTGTTTTGGCTGGAGAAAGTGAAAAACAGTGACCAGGCTCTGGGGGATGTTGGGAGGATGCTCCTTTCCAAGCCTCATCAGCAGCACGGGATAAAGCATGGAGGTGCTTAGCAGGAATGTCAGCAGCAGGAGGGCGGCAGTTGATTTTCTGCTACTAACAAGGAAATGATGCCAAGAATTGGGGATTGTTTGCAAAGATTTTCATAAAAGTGGCTTGTATTTGACTGGAAAAAGTGGGGGNGGGGAGGAGGCCAAGTGAGGACTGAATGAGTAACAAAAATGATGGGGAAGGGAAACTACCTTTGCAGAAAGGTAATAAATAAATTGAGRTGGGGTGACATTGCCTTTCTTGAGGATATGAAGTAGAATAGGGAAAAAAAGCTATATTAATGAAGGGGGAAAAAAAAGTAGTTGTTATTAGTTATTTTTTAAGATACTGCATCAAAGTTGCTGAAGCCGCTAGTCAATAAGTGTTTATATAAAATGGCATCAAGTAGGTTACAATTACCCATGGGATAATGCCTCTGGAGAACAGTTTCACTTTCTGTGTTTTGGAAGATTTCTGAAATTGTTTAGGATGTAAGAACCTACAGGGGAAAAATAGAAGTAGTAGAAGTTATTTGCAGGCTAAAACAGAAGAGAAGATTACTTAAAACAAGCCATTAAAGGGGTGATTTGAAATAAAACTTCTACTAGATCTGAATAGATCTGAGTGTAGCTGAGAGTCGGTGCTATTTTGTGTGTCACGTCACCGTGAATGCGACAATATTTGTAGCTGTTTTCCAAACTAATTGTTTGAAGGATGAATTAAAGTCAAAACAAGCTCCTTCAGAAAGACGGGTGGCAGAAAAATCTGAATAAGATGAAGACTGAAGAAGAGAGAAGTTATTAGGTCGTGTTAACACCACCTCCTCCTCTAGGAAAGCAGCGGCAGCAGCTAGTTAGAGCAGGTACAAAGCTGATAAGGTGCTTAAAGCTGCAGTTTGAGGTACATTTTAAGCTCGTACTAGTGCCTAGGGAGCAGCCAGCCCTCCCTTGCTCCCTCCCTTCTTGTCATGCCAGGCAGGAGTGTTTGTGTCCTTTAACACTGAAACGGAATGAGGAACCTTCGCCGGTGCTTTGGCAGAGGCCTCCGTGCGGGCATTACCAGCAGAACGTTTCGGGGTGCATACAAACAAAGAAATAAAATCCCCCAAAAGCTAAAATTTGAGGGATGCTGATTGAAAATCAAAACGT